GAATGAATTTTAAATCCAAATGGAGAAGTTGGAGGTTTGTGTTACCGCTTACTACACCCACTTTATCTATTGTCTTCAATGGTGCCTCTTGTGGAAATTTTGAAAGCTCAAGAGGATTAAGGCAAGGAGACCCTTTGTCTCCTTTCTCTTCAATACTTTCCTCTTCAATATAGTGATGGATGCTTTGAGCAAGTTCACCTGTAGGATGGTAGCTGGTGGATTTACCCAAGGGTTTAAAGTAGGGGAGGGTAGAGAATAGATCCCTTTACTTCAGTTCTCTGATGATACCATCTTTTTTTTTTTTTTTTTTGTGACGCCTCAGCTGATCAATTGACACCTGGGTTTTACTCTAAGATGGTTTGAAGCTGTTTCTGGCCTCAAAATCAATCCCTTTAAGAGTGTAATGTTGACAGAGGAAGGGGTTTCAGATACCCAGCTGGCTAGCATTTTTGGCTGTAAACTTGGGAATTTGTTCACCACTTATCCGGGCTTTCCCCTTGGTGCAAAAAGTAACTCAGGATTTGGGATTCAGTCATTGAAAGATTTGATAGGAAATTGATCATGTGGAAATCAAAATATTTGTTAGGAGGCAAAAACTTAAATTGAAACGGAGTGATTTGTCTTCACTCCCTATTTATTATCTTTGATTATTTAAAATCCCTGCAAGTGTTGCAAAGCTTCTAGAAAAGAAAATAAGAACCTTTTGTGTCAAACAAGGAAAATTGGTGGTTTAGGCATCAGAAATGTTAGATCTGTTAACAAGGACGTCCTTGGTAAATGGTGCTGCAGAGTCAGTAAAGAAAGAATCAGCCTCTGGAGAAGGATCATTGTAGATAAATATGGGCTCACAAACCTTAATGGGACTTGGATCCTGGTCTCCCCCCAAGGGGTTGTGCTCTTTGTAGTAGTAGTAGTATTGCTGTTCTTCCTGATTTCTTGAAGGGCATAAGATACAAAGCTGGCAAAGGTAATCGCACCAAATTCTGGCATGATAAATGGTGTGGGGGTATTACACTGTGTGAAAGGTTCCCCTCTCTTTTTGATACTGCCCAAGATAAGGAAGCTATAGTCAAAGACTGATTTCACTTGGTGCATGGGGAAGCAATTTGAGCCCCTAGTTTTAGAAGAAATCTCAATGATTGGGAAATCATCCAAATCTAATGACTGAATTGTTAAGCCTCATTCAAAGTATAAAACCTAATCCTCAAGCTGATGATGAAAGACTTTGTCTTGGGAGAAATCAGGTATTTTTTTAAACAGTCTTTCTACAGTAACCTCTTGGCTAGGGAAGACTTTGATTTCCCTTGGGCTTTAATCTGGAATTTCCACATCACATCGAAAAAAGCCTTCCGGGTTTGGACTGCAGGTCATGGCAGATGCTTAACTTCAGACTGGCTGATCAGAAGGGGGGTGCATATCCCTAGTATCTTGTGTTCTTTATGCAATGAGGTTCCTTAATCCTCCATCCAATCACCTATTCATCCACTGTAGCTTCACCCATCAGCTGTGGGCAATGGATTGGTCCTGTTTTGGTGTTCATTCTTGCCTGCCTGAATCAGCACTTCAGCTTCTGCAAGGGTGGACAATCAAGAGTTTGAACAGAAGGGGCAAAATGTTATGGAGGACCTTTCCTGCTGCTATCTTGTTGTCTCTTTGGAAAGAAAGAAATAGTTGCATTTTTTACCACAAATGTTCAGATTTGGACTCAATTAAGAACAACCTTATAAGTTTTTATGCTCCTGGTTGGGTGTACAAAGAGCTTTTCAGGGTGTCCAGCTTATTTCTTTTTTGCAAGCTAAGCCTTTTTTGAGTGATCAGTCAGATCGTTTTGTATATTCCCGTTGTACAGGCTCTTGTTGTACATGGGCTGATGTAATTGGCTTTCACATTAATACAATTCAATACTTTACCTTAAAAAAAAAAAAAAAAACTCAGATTTTCGAGTGTAACTGCATTTAGATTTACATGTGGAATAATCCACTGATCTCTAAAAGATAATTTATATCCATAGTCAGGTCAACTTTAAGCTGATCCCTGTATAGCTGGGACTAGGTTTGTTGAGTTGAGTTAGGTCAACTTTAGAAAGACATGAGGAAATATGTTTTGATTCTGCCCCCTTAATCAAATGAAAGGGCAACAAATGGCTGAGAACATGGCTCTGAGATTTCAGATGCAAGTACCATCATCATCATAATCATAACAAGGCAGTTGAAGTATCAACACTGATTTGAATTTGTCAAACATAAATTTAAGTTTAACCTTTTAGTGCCAAAACCTGGTTCAGGTCCCTGTAAGTAAGAGGGATGAAATATGTTTTTGTCTTTAATTCATCAGCTGAAAAGTACAGGAACCTATTTGCGGGATTTATTGTAGGTTACAAATGATGAAAGAGCATTTCTAAGGATACAATTTTTTCTTGTGTCCCTTGCGCATCATACACCACATATCTGGTTAGACATGTGGTTTCCCCAATTGTCAGTGCAGGTCAGTTCCACCCACAATATCCTAGTTATGTGAATTAGATCATTTCTACGGCTACAAGAAAAATGTCTACATCCTTGGCAATTCTCTTGATGAAATTTGTAATGGATTCCACAAACAATATACCTGGAACTTACATCAAGACACTTTTTCTCCTTAGGCTGTGACTTTTTTTTTTTTGACAGGGCATTGTAAATTTGTAATTAATTATACATTATCCAGTTAAGTGCATGAGAAATGGCTTCATGTAGAGGTGAGTTAAAACCATAACTAAAAGTTCTCCAAGATGGGTGGAATAGTTCTTGCAAGAAAATGGTAGGAAGAAATTGTTTATTATGTGTACCTCACTGAGTTTTGTTATAAAAGACCTTGTTTGTCTATGACCAGCATAACTGATGGGTCTTATAAGGTGGAAGGACCTGCTTATTTTGTCTCCATTTTTAAAGGTCTCCTTTGGGTAAAGCTTCACAATTATATTGTCCGTCTTTCTTAGCATAACCATAAATCAATTGAAAGTCTCTGCTCATTGAGATCCTTTCTTTCATGGTGGAAAGTTTTAGTTCTGATATGTTACTAGATTTCACCAGGTGAAGTCATTCCTCATAGCTGACAAATTGGAAGTTTTTCTTCTAACATACTTAACTTCAGAGTTTTGGATGCCCATTTCCTACATGAGTGAAGTTCTATAGGTGTTTTTTGAAGTTAAAGATTATGAACACAAATGGTAGTGGTGATCGTAACAGTATAACTTGTACACTTCCTTGCTTAGTCGATGACCAATTTTGTTTGAGTCATTTTATTAGAGCCAAGTAATTATAACAACCTTGTAGAAACAACAGCATAACTTGACACAATGACACCTAGTGGTAATTTTTTCTGATTCTGAATACTTAGGTCTTTATGATGCTGCAACTGTATAGGTTGCATATGGAGGGGGCTTCCAATATTAACCAGCTGAAATTACAAAAAAAAAATAAAAAAAAAAAATCATTGCGTAACAAAAGTATTAGCTATGTAATTCCATCAGAAGATCCATAGTTTGATATGTGATGCTAAAATAGTAGTTGTATTTTGATTTTTGGAGTACTGAGAGTGTATAAGTGAAAAGGTTGTAGTTTCTGGTTGTTGATTGATATATTATTGGCCAACTCTAGACAGAGAATAGGCTTGTAAAGGGAAAGTAATGTCAAGAATGAATCAGAAAACTTTGAACCTTTTTCTTTGAGATAACGAAGGAGCAAGTGTATTTATGGGATGATATATCAAGTGCCAGACTAATTGTTGATGTTACCGTATCTGGCAGCTGAGCTTGAGACAGCGAACAATCAATTTGTGGGAGTAATGGTATAACTTATACTCTGATGCAGATTTGTAATAGTTGTGGCACAAATAAAAAAACAGAAGAGCTACAGAAGAAAATATTTCCACATAAGTAGTTGATTCTTCAATTCCTAAAACATTATGTAGTGATCAGAGATAGGCTATGTGGCAAGGTATCAAGATCATCAATATACAAGTATTGCAATGGGATAGCAATATAGTGAGTGCTAAGCATATACCTTGGAGAGTTTGGATTCTTTTTGGTTAAAAGCAGATGCATCCTTATAGCATTCTGGAGCTTGGTGAGAGAAATTAAGCATTGGAATATAAGGAATATTTGTTTGCAAAAATTTTCTTTTGAGAACAGTAGATGTTACTGTAAACCCTCTACTTTGGTGAAAAACTTTTTTTTTTTTTGATCAATAACACTTTCATTAAATCATCAGTAGAAAATTTACAGGAACTTTGGTGAAAAACATCAAAACTTCAACTGTTGTAATTTTTATGTTGGTTATTGAAAAGGAATGTTTACACCTCCATTCTAGTCAAATATCATAATAGTTTCAGTGAGAAAACATACTGCATCAAAACTGGAATTAGGAAACAAAATATAAAACAAACTATACATTTAAATTAATAAAAGTTGAAGTAAAGAGACAGAGAAAGACTGTCTGTTTTATGCAGCAGAGCACAGACTGCATAGTCTCGTACTCTAGAATTTCTTACCAATAATGCAAAATATTGGATACAGTGATTGGAAGAACATCCCACTTTCTGTTACTTTCTTCTACTGATTAAGTTGTACTTTCCTCAGCCCTATATTTGGCACCAATACATTATTCATTATAAATAAGCTTGATTTCAAATCTCTTAAAAATGTTAATTTGATATAAATTACTGAATGTAGAAAGTGAAAATTAATAACACGATTTATCTTAGTAGTGTTTGATAACATGGTTGGTTTAATTTTTGAAAAAAAAAACAACCATGCTGTCGAATACCCCCTTAGTTCTCTCAATTATAATTATTAACATTTAAGTTGTATTTTCTTAAATATATTTATTTTCCATCCTTAAATATAATTTCTCTCTTACCATATATTCTTAGTTTCACCATCTTTCTGATCCACTGTCTGCAGTTGATGAATTTACTGTTATTATCTAATTGTTTGCCAACCTTGTAACTTTGTTGTGTTTCAGATGAAAGTAACTTTCTTCTGTGCAACCTTATTGTCTTTCAGATGAAAGTAACACAGAGAGGCTGAGTTCCCTTCTTAAACCTGTTTTCACATTTTAATATTGGCGCTGGGTTGTACTCTTCTGTGGAATTTATTTGAAGCGTGAAGTTTCATTTGTGAAAATTTGGAGCTCCCTCTTCCATTCGTGTACCAAGTTGAGCTGGTCTTTAACAGCAGTAACAAAAACACTGATCCAGAAAAACAAGCTGCAGCGACCACAGTTATCTGGAATGCATTTCATTCTGATCGACATGGTTTATGAGTCACCACATTATTTATCAAACTAAGAAATATCCTAATTTAGCAATGTAATTTTGTAACTGGGCAGCAACTGGTGGGATCTTAACTATTAACTTTATGGTCAATCGATTGATTCTACCCCTTCTCAAATAGCAAAAGAAACAGAATGAAGTAGAGGTCATGCTTCTTGTAAAATACAAACAGTCAAGCTACATGTACATCTTATACTGTTAGAACTTTATCTGGTAGTGCGTGAGCCGGGATGAAGTTAAAGTTTTTTTTTTTCTTTTCATGGTTGGGCTGCAGAATATTTTGCAATTAAGCCTCTAGCACCTGTTTCTTGTTTAACTGATAATGTATTTACATGGCATTTGAAGGACCGAATTTTGGTAATGTAGTCTTGTAATGTGGAGTGGAATGAGCTGTGGGAATTGTCATGGTTCGAGTATTGGTTTTTCAGTATCAAGCGTCTAAAACCATGGATACTGATACTCTTTATTTTATTCAGTTCCTATAATTTCAAGGATAGATACTTTGAACCATTCTTGACAATGCTAGTGTGTAAATAAGAGAAACGAAAAGGGATAGCCTGCAGTTCTAGATGATAAAGGTGTGACTGTCATTTGAGTTGTGACTGATATGCAACAGGTTTGGGGAATCCACCATTCAGTCTTCATTAACAAACATATTTTGCTTGTTACAATCATTCAATCTGTAGGATTTTACCTGGATGGTGTACAAGACTTGTACTGGGGGTTGGAGTTCGTTGCTTTCTCGTCTGCATTCTTTGGTGTTTGAATCTGGCGAATGTCAACGTACTAAGCGAGGGAGGCTCTTCCGAGAGTTCTAGTAGACTACCTCGCAATCTCACAATTTTCTTTCTAAAATGTCTTTGATGTTTAATAAATTTGCAACTATTGATGGAGAATTGTGTTAGTTTCAGATTTGTAAAAAGAATTTTAATGTGGCAGCATAAACGATTAAACGGGTCATTTCGTTCTTGTACAATCTCCAACTTGGCTGTTGGAAGTGGAACGCTCGAGCCATCTTTTAGCCTACATTATGCTCAAGGAGACGAGGACTAGCCTACTGGTTCAGGGAAACCGTTTCGTTTTCTTGGTGTTGTTTACAACTTTACATTGTATGTTCTAGATTATTTTTTCTATTGGAATCGGCTGTCTTTCGTGGTGTCTGCTATGTTAAAGTAGAAATCTTTCCTTCAACCAAAAGAAAAAGGGAAAAAAAAAAAACTAAAGATGGAGGTCAAAAACTTGTTTTTCTTTCGGATGCATCTGTTTGTTCTGGGTTCCCTTGCTTTTATTTGGATCAGAAAAAGGAAATAACTAAACAGAAGTCCTGAGACAGCCTGCCCCTGCTCTATACTCAATATCTAGTTCCCTCAAAAAACTGAGAGTCGTAATTCTTTTAAACCGCTTCAGTAACATGCATGATTTTTCATTTTTTCACTACGCACAGAATTGATTAAAACTTAACTTTAGATCCAATATTACATTAATATATGATACTATGTAACCTCAACGTCTCACTAGATGTGCAACAGGTTTATTCGTTCTTGATGGTCTGCTTTCAGCTTCAGAAACCTTTCTGCTGATTAAAGGTGCTCACTGCAGTAGCTTGAAGGAACAACTGAGAGATCCAACCGCCCCGTCCACTCCTCGCCTGGCTTCAAGGTGATGGGCTTCTCGATTGCTGCACCATCAACGCAAAGCATTTGCTTGTACTCCTCGTCGCCAAGATCTACTATGGATTTGGATTTCTTTTCCCATGGGTTCCATACCACTGTAAATGAAACCTTGCGAGGCTTAGAAAAAGAAATGGTGCGGACCAATATCAACAAGTTAAAATGACCCACCAACTGGACAGTTGGAAATCCCTGGGCCAGGCACCTGGGGCTTTCTGGGGCTAGCAATGATCGCCCCTACAGGCTACAGTAGAGAGATGCAGGTGCAGCAAATGATTGAAGGAGACACCATTATGGAAACTGGTTATCCATCTGGTGTGCCATTATAATACTGACAGTTGTTTCTTTTAAATTTTACCAGAGAAAAGATCGCATACCAACATCTGGAAGTCCTTCCTTTTTTATGACAAAAGTCTGCTTCTTCCCATGGTCAAGGACTGCAACTACATTCGGGGAGCTGAGATAAACTCGATCAACCTGCTATCAAAAGATCCTTAGAAAACCAGAGTCCTCAGCTCACGCCATAGTTCAGGTGCATTCAAAACTATTTGATTTGATAGTTGTAACTTAGGTTGATCAGAAACTTTTCAAGTATAGTGCAAGAAAGCTCCCATGTCAACTTGTTTGAGTGAGCAGGGAGGGGGATGATAGATGCTTGATCACCTTGAAAAAGAACCATCATTTACAAGAATTACCTCAAATTCAAAAGTAATGGCATCTCCTTGTTCTGTAAATCGTTCTCTTTGACAAAGGTTGTCAAGATAGTCGAGTGTTTCCAATCCTTCTATCCTTACTTCACTGTAAATGTACAAATGATTTGCATAATTACAAATGGACAAATAGAAACATACTGGAACCATTCACTATAAAAAGTAGATACAAGAAATAATTTTTCCAAATAAACTTAAAAGTTACCACCAGTGGTTTTTTGAGATTATTATGGTTGTGACCCCCCAGAAACCTCTTGTTGCCAACCCACTAAAAGCAGATAATAGAGCATACCGGAGGTTAATATAGAGAAACATTATTTCTTCTTCCCCCCCTCCTCTCATCCTGATTACCCCCATCCCCACCCTCTATAAAGCTGTCAGAAAAATAAAAAAACGCAAGGCTATATTTGGTTTGAAAGAAAATAAGAGAAACAGAAAGAAAACTGTATTAAATGGAAATATTATAAACTGTAGTTAATTGATTAATTTACAAACACATTGTAAAATAAGTTTTCCTCAGTAGCCAGTATCATTTTTTTTTATCAAAAACGAATTCATTAGCAACTTCATTAAATCAGGAAAAGGATGATTACAAAGAAGAAGACAAGCACTCTTGTCTTCCAAATACAGCTTGAGCCCTAAAGAAAAAGAAAAGGAAATGAAAACAGTAATTTACAATTTGGCCCAAAACATTGAGTCCCTTTCTACCCCTTGTTTAGCTAATCCATCAGCCAAAGAATTAGCTGATCTTTGAACCCACCTCATCTTCACTTCCATCTCCCTCACCAGCCACTGAAACTTTTTCCTCTCATTACTGTAATTCCATAGGCTAATATTATCTTTATTCAGCCACCCTATTACCACCTCCGAGTCCCCTTCAATTATGAGTTTTCTGATATTCATCTCCTTGGCTTTCTGGATCCCTTCCATAACTGCATAAATCTCAGCTCTAAGGGAGTCCCCCACTCCAATTGGGCCTGAGTACAAGGCAGAAATAACCCCATTCTCACCCCTGAAGACACCTCCAACCCCTAACTGTCCAGGGTTCCCTCTACTACTCCCATCAAAGTTTAGTTTTAAAAATCCAGCAGGTGGGGGGGTCCAGGGCACACTCACTACTGATTTTCTCTTTGAATAGTTTGCAATTTCACCCCACTTCCCTAGCATGTCATTCACTGTGTAATCTGAAAATAGCACTAAGGATTTCAGCCATTGTACAATCCTCGTACGAATTGTAGCCCTCAGCTCATCAGCCTCCCTCTCAATTTCTGAAAAGATCCTGAAGTTTCTTTCTTCCCATAGTGACCAACATACTGCAGCCCTCAGTCCCCTCCACATAGTCTTTCCTCTTTTCACTCTCCACCTGAAAAAAGAAGGGGAGAATAGACTTTGCATGTCTGGTGGGGGATTCCAGCTACACCCAAAGAGAGAAAAAACCCACTCCCAAACAGACTTTGCAAATTGGCAAGACACCAACAAGTGGAAACTAGTTTCCCCCTCCACTTTGCAGAGAACACACCAATGAGGTGACAAGCAAGTATTGGGTCTCTTATTTTGGAGCAAATCACCAGTGTTAATTCTTTCCAGATAGGCTTCCCAACAAAAACTACCAACCTTGGGAGGAATTAGTCTGCACCAAACCTCCTTAATCGGGAAAGGGGGGTCACAGGATTAGTGGACTGGCTTAAAACTCTAAATAAGGATGCACAAGAAAAAGAGCCAGTTGGGGTAGGGGTCCAGATTCTAAAGTCCACCTTTGAAGGGTCTAAGAAGACATTATCAAGAAGATTGAGGAGGCTCGAAATACTATCGAGGTCTAAGTCCCTCACAGCGCTTCTCAGACCCAGGTTCCACCCAGGCCCAGAACTAGAAGAGGAAGGGGTGATGAAAGAAGAAACTGGCTCATTCTTTTAAAGTGGTAATAAACTGATCTTTTAAAGGTACAATCCCCATCCAAACCTGTGGGTGGTAATAAACAATGTGGTAATCTTTCAAAAACATGTGGTAATAAACAATGAATATTGTTAATCTTTCAAAAACAACTTTCTCAACTAAGAATGGGGTTTTGCATTCTAAAATTTAATACTTTCTGATGCTAAATAGTTGGATTTAAGGCTGAATTGAATTAAGTTGCTGATACCATGGTCATCATTAAAAAAGAGGCAATCAACAAGTTCTGTTCTGAAAATTTATATTAGCTTCTATGTTTACAAATTTCTGTTCTTGTAACTGGAAATAATTGATCCAGGATGCTGCAGTTGCACTTTTCACTGATCCTTGGTACATTAAATCAGGTTCAAAATTCAAATGAAAAGGTCTAGAAAAAAAAAACCCATTTATTATTGTGTCATGTATTCATGTCAATATCAGACAATAAATATGAATTTGGAATTGAAAGAGCAATATAATGTTTGTCACAGAGAATACATAATACCTTATATCAGAAACAGAGAAATATGTATGATAAGCGAATGAGAAACTAAATGGCTTGCCATTGATGTTCCTGATCCGTGATATCATGGTGAGATCACCATCTGCTGTAAGAGACACCCTAAGACGAAACTCGAAACTGAAAAAAACAATCCAGTATCATCCATTATGCTCAGAAAAAAAAATTCATATTTTGACATACAAAGAGAAGATTCAGCTACAAACTCAAGTAAACATGTAAATAAATACTATATCTGCAAGCACACATTTCGGCGAGCAAGATCAAGATAGGTGGGTTCCACCTAAGGTATCATTTACTACAAAGGATTTAGGTGGTTGCATGGTATGATGGAGGTTCCCAAATCTTTCACTTGTTGGTCATATTTATATACTTGTGGATTTCACATATAGCCTGTATACTAGCGGAGAGGGGCTTGTGCTAAGCACAGACCAAAAGACTCTAAATTGGTACCTTATTTATTTATAACTAATCAAAGTATGTGGTATATTTTTGTAAAAAAAAATAAAATTGTGAATTTACAAATACATTTTTCGAAGGAAAAATGTTTCTAAAACTCAAAATATATATATTTTTAAAAAAGGAAAAATCTATATAATATAAATTCATTTCTAATGATAATTGATTTAAAGTGACACATGCATTCATTCGAAGGACCACACTGAGAAAGAAGTATTATCAAAGTCAAACTTGATGCTATTCACTTGGGGAATTTAAGGTAAATTTGACTTGTGCAAGGTGCAAGGAAAACAAAGAAAGGGAAATCATCAATGCATAATTGGCATTTGCAATCTTTTTGATCTTACAACTTTCAGGTAGCCAAAGAGAAGAGGAAGAGTTTTGTGGAGGTGTTAGAGCTGCTTTGGTGTGGACTGTGGGAGGAATGAAATGCTAGAATCTTTAATGACAAGGAAAGGGATCAAACATGTGTGTTAGAAAGTATCTTATGTAGGGCTATAAGTTGGGTAAAATCCTTGGATCTGTTCTCCTACACTTTTGATGACATAAGGAGAAATTGGGAACAACTAGCTAAAAGTTCTGCAGTCAGAAGCAAGCTGGTGGTGGATTGGAAGTCTTCTGATGCAAGTGTCATTAAACTAAATTTTGATGGCAGTAGTTTGAGCAATCCGGGGCCATCTGGAATAGGGGGAGTCTTTAGAAATGACGAGGGTCAGATTGTAGCTCTATTTTCTGGTCCTATAGGGTTGGGAAACTCAGTAAATGCAGAACTCCAAGCTGTGTTTCAAGGAGCAGAATATGCAAGAGAGTTGGCAGTGGAGCATTTAATGATTGGAGGTGATTCCAAATTGGTTGTTGGATGGCTAAAAGAACCAGACACGGCAGCCTGGCCGTACAGGGGGACTTTGAGAAGATTTAAGTGGCTGACTTCAAATCTTTCAGTCACAGTTCAATGGGAGAGAAGATCGGCAAATGGGCCGGCAGACCTCCTAGCTAAACAAGGAGTACATAGGAATCAGCTCTTTTGGGCTCAGTTGTAAGCTTTATGATGTAGTTTGGAGGCTGCACCTCGTGCCTCTTAGTGGGGAATTGTATGATGTATACTTAGTTCTTTAATTAATAAAATTTTCATTATCATTATCTATCAAAGAAAAAATTGGCATTTGGCTAGTAACACAACCAAGAAATTATACTTCCATCTGTAAAGACAAAACACCATTCCTTTCAGCCATGTTTCATATAGCCAACATAAAACAGGAAATAACAATAGACCAAAATTAGCTAATAAGAGAGTCATCTTAAAGTAACTCAAGCCAGCATACGACTCCTGCTATGAAGGAGAAATTCAAGCTATGAAACTCATGTATGCTTGCCCGTTAAAAGAGATATCACTCTGTTTTTCCTATAATTGCTTATGGGGAGGAAATCCTATCATTAAACACCCTCTGATTCCGCATGGTCCAGCATATAACCACAGGAACCAACTTCCAAAGAATCAGTCCTCTCTTACTAAAAGCCTTACACCTCCAAGATGCAATGAGAGTCTCAAGATCTTTTGGAAGAACCATGTTCACACCAAATAATTTAAGTGCATCCAAATAAACAATATTGGCAATGTAAGGAGCATAATAAAACAAAATTGGTTTCACAATTCACTAAGAATAATTCTATAGATGATTGTATAACTGAAAAGTGTTGGATATCCAAGAATAATTTATCCAATTATAAACCTGACAACCTCATCTCAACAGAACCAAGAGAGGTATTTACACTTAGAAAAAAAATCGTCATTTTACATATAATTGAAGTGAACGTATTGGGCCAAATAGAAAAACATAATTTCACCAATTTCTAACAACAGGCAGGACTTTGTTCTTTTCTATTTTTTTCCTAAAATACATGAAATTAGATATAATCTCTCAAACATACTAAAATTTGTAAAAACAAAATGTTGTTTTATTCAATCAATAATGACTTAGTTAATATCTCATGAAGCCACACTTGAATCCATGCTATGCATCTTGGCTGATATACATATAATTTAAAATCTCAAGAAAGATTTTATCAATATATTCTTTGGTGCCAACTGTGAATTTCCTTTGCAAGAATCGGCAACCAAGTTGATCCTTTGCCATGAGATAAATTCTATCCATGACCTCATCCACAGAATTATATTTCTGAGATGGTAACTTCAGATTATCATGTCTCAGATCTACAGTGTCAAGGGATGAACCATGGGAGTTCTGACCATCTAGTTGAAACGATGCTGCATTTAGAATGGATGGTTGTAATTGGAAACGACCATCAAAGAGTAATCTCCCATTAGAGTTACCATAGTTTAGTGATTCATTCCCTACATCAGAGCAAGGCTTGATAGTTCTGATTGTGTTCAACCAAGGCTTGATAGGACCCAATGAATTAAGTCCCCTTGGGATTGCAGCACCATTCCAAAATGGACCTTGACTACCTTGTTCAAGTTGAAGGGAAATCGGGATCTCAAAATATGGTCGCCTTGGCTCCCTAGTAATTGACCCAAAGGGACTTTTACAAAGAGGAATTTACAGCTCTGTTGATTTTCAATAGCCACCACACCACCAAGATCCAGCACCTGCAACGATCTTAAGTTTCTACCCTATTTCTTCGATTATTTATCAAATTGATTTTGAATTTGGATTTATTATCAGATATCTGATTATTTATCAAATTGATTTTGAACTTAGGTCTTGCACGTACTAGTGTGATGTAGGACAGGAAGGAGAAGAATGGTGCTAGGGTGTATATGGTGGGTAAAGAAGGGAATTAAAGATCTGAATATGATAGAAAAATATTCAGATCAAGAGAAAGAGAAGAAAGACTGCACTGCACCTTTAGGCTATGTTTGGTTTGAAGGAAAAGGTAGGGAAAGGAAGAGAAACACAGGAAAACCTATACAAGGTTTGTAAAGGTTTTCCTACATTTCCCTTCCTTTCCCTACTTTTTCCTTCAAACCAAACACAGCCTTAGAAGAAAAGGAGAAAAAGAAGAAAGAGAAGAGATACTTGGAGCATGTTCCTACAACCACAATTCACTAAAACAAAACTTTTGTTCATCAAAACAACTCTTAAATCTCAAGCACATTTAACTCTGTATAGACTCTACGTAATGATGACCTGGACCTTTCTTTACAAACTCCAATTTGGGCTAGGAAACTAACCAAAAACAACTTCTAATTGCTTTAGAACCAAGGCAAATCCATAGGTAACCTATTATCAACACTCAAATAAGAAGTGCAATTCCTAAAACAACTCTAAATATCCATTGCCCGTTCTACTAAAACTAAAGAAATAAAAAATGAAAAAAAAAATTCAAAATTGATATAAAGAAGTAGAAAAACCCAAATCCCGCCATATACTAACAACCCTAACAAATATACAGCCATAGCTCTCTCAAAACATGTAGCATTTAAAAGAAACTGATATCATTTAATGGGTAACTCAATAACCTATCTGATAACACCAAAATCAGAAGTTTTGCCTCTTTAAAAATAGGTTGGAAGAGAAGTAAAAAGTGATGCAAACTTTTCAAATTTCTAAAACATCTACAGTCTATAGTAACACTTTGAACTAGTTTGGCCTTAACCCTATAAGAAGGTTAACTTTATTCATAAGATACTAACAAACTAAAAAATAAATTGTAAAATACTCAAGTTGACCAGAATCCCAAACACCTAAAGTTACAATTGTCAGTAGTGAAAGAATAAGAAGATTTATTTCCCCATGGATCTTTTTCCTTGTTTTCGTGTTTAAATCAAGGAACCAGTTCTACATTACTCTAATAGAAAGACACTAAATTTGAACAACTATTAAAGGTTTTTATTGAACAAAAAGTAACAATTGATGGCTTTTTGACCAAATTCTAGTCCCTTTGACAAAGGCCTATGAATACAGTTAGATAATTCCTAAACAGTTGCATATTGAAAGTGGAAGGAAAAGAAACTATCTTCACCGTGTAATTGTTTACAGTATTCTGGTAAGATGTCCTAATTACAGAAACCCTTAGTGACAAAGTTATATAAAACGAAATGGAATCTAAATAAGTGAGTAAAAAAGGAAGCAAAATCTGAAATTTGAATGACAGCAGGAAACCATGTTTTCTGGCAAATTGTCTACAGTTGATTTTCTTTTGCCAATGAATAGTTCTCTAAGATGATGTTTTGTAGCTAAGGACTTGGGGCTCCTGCAACTTTAATGAATCCCCTCAGGTAAGCTTCTTTAGACATCTATTACCTTCTTACATCCTTATCCTCCACTTAATCTATCATTTTCCCAAAATCCATTTCAAAATAATTTTTAGTGCACCTTCTCAGTTTGCTTTTCTGAAGCATTTCCCAACCAAAACACATACTTGAAGGTATATGCACCTCAAGGTTATTATACTGTATCCTGAGTGGAGGAAGACTGACACAGGATGCAAAGGAGCCAGTATTATTTTTCATTTATTTAAGCATCAATTTAAAATCAAAGAGAAAAATTAATTCAGCTCAATCACTCAACTCATGTCCTGAAGAGTCAAAACTTGTCCATTTGACTTGCTTTTGGTGTCATTAGATAGAAAATCATGGTGAGATCACCATCTGCTGTAAGAGACACCCTAAGACAAAACTTGAAACTGAAAAAAAACAATCCAGTATCATCCATTATGCTCAGAAAAATCGCATTTTGACAAACAAAGAGCAACATAGGTGGGTTCCACCTAAGGTATCATTTACTACAAAGGATTTAGGTGGTTGCATGGTATGATAGAGGTTCCCAAATCCTTCACTTGTTGGTCATATTTATGTACTTGTGGACTTCACTTCACATAGCCTGTATATTACTCCATGAGACCTTGTTTCCAAGGTGAGCTATCTACTAGAAATTCATGGTTAAGTACCAAGCAGTGATGCATGGACATGGGAATCAGAACCCAATGCCTATCCGGGAGTCCAACTCAGCAAAAAAAAAGAAGAACAAAGACTTGTGAACAGGTCTGCATAAAATTATAAACGTCCATATTTTAAAGGCCTATATTTGCCACTTAATTATGATTTCTTCAAATAATGGCATTCATTATGCATATTAGCTATTCATTTATGTTAAATAAGAAAATAGATAAAGGTAAGTTCTATGTTGAATTGTCCATCAAGAATCCACGATGTGTTAGAATCGGACACATATCTGAAATGGACATTTCATCCACTCAGGAGAGTCCATGCAACACTGGCACCAAGTGTTACCTTGGTATGTGGCAATGGTGCCAAGTATTCAAATACCAACAAGTGTCTCACATGTCAACCTTCATTTATGTTAAATAAGAAAATAGATAAAGGTAAGTTCTATGTTGAATTGTCCATCAAGAATCCATGATGTGTTAGAATCGGACACATATCTGAATGGACATTTCATCCACTCAGGAGAGTCCACGCAACACTGGTACCAAGTGTTACCTTGGTATGTGGCAATGGTGCCAAGTATTCAAGTACCAACAAGTGTCTCACATGTCAACCTTCAGAAATAATGGACATGGTAAAGATCAATAAATTATATAATATAACCAATATAATATATAAAGAATAACAAAGTTAAAAAAATTGAAAAATCACCTGGTACCTCATGGGCTTTTGCCCATTCCATGATACTTTGTTTAAGTGCCAGAACTTAGCTTTAGCTTGGAACATCAGCACATTATAAAAAGTGTCATATCAAGGAACTTGTATATCTAGAGCAGGTAATGGACATGTATTATTGGAAACTGGTCAGCTTCATTACTAATGGTTGAGAAATACAATCTCAACCAGGAAAACCAAGCAGGTTAGTCCTCAGCTTGGATAGTAGGCAATTGCCAAGCTGAAGCTAATGGGGCAACAGATTGGCAAGTCAGGAATTACTGTTCTATATGCAGAAAAATAGCAATCGCCCATTTTATAACTCCAGGTATCATTGTTTTTTATGCCAAAAGAAGTTTTCTATAATAGATGATTTGATACCTATGAGGCCAGCACTTGAGATCTTCTTCAGATGGTTTGAGTATCAAGTCAATAGAAGATTTGCCTTTGGAATCATTGAAGTGTAATGGTGAAGGGTTATCATCAAATGCCCAAATCTTGTTTCTTGCAAATCCATGTTGTTCCAGTGATCCACAGTTTCCAAACTTGACAATGAAATGCAATATGTCAGTTGGAAATGATTGACTTAGGGGGGTGTTCGACAATGTGAATGGTTTTATTTTCTAAAACAAAAACAACATCCATATCAGCAAAAATGTGCTGTTTTTGCTAACATGGAAGTCATCTTTGGTTTAGAAAACAAAACCACTCACATTGTCAATCACCCCCTTAATGTATGCCTTAATATCCATGAGCTTGGCTGGAATTACCTGTGGAAAACAAATAGGTATTCCTCCTCGCATTGCTTTTGGTGGCTTAAAGATTGCCTACATTAATTTAAAGAACAAGAACCAAATTAGGCATATATTCATATTCAACAGCTCAAGAAAATGCATATGAATCATCTTAGTAGGAAACAAATTTCAGTGGCATACATTGCTTTTCATTCTCAAAATTTAAATTGTTTTGGGCTTAATGACCATTCATTGGCATTTCCTACTAATATACATCCAGATAAATCGTCAATGTTAGTAAAGTCAGGTGATTAAGTGTTACGATTTAACCTTCAATTAACAAGAACAATTGCCTTGCTTCTGCAAAAGACACAGATGTATATTCTGCATCCATTAGCATACCAGCCATGCAAATGCCCACTGACTAATTAATAGGCTGTCAATACTGCCTGACCTTCCTGGGATTGGGAACCATAAAAATTAGATAATCCACTCACCCATTATGAAGGCTATTTATCTCCAACTGTCAATCGGTGTGTTGATTTTGTAAGTAAACTCTAGGACTTGATAAAACCATTAATTTACCACCAAAAATTATTAGCTGTAGAAACACAACAGAGCTGCTCAGAAGCTCTGTAAGAGAGATCTGACCACTTTATTTAAATATTGAACAAAACATTGAAGCACAAAGATCTACCATGATACAAGGAGAATAAAAAATAACCTTACTACTTGTGAAAAGGAGTTCTTCACCGCGATCATTCTTCCATGAAACGACCTGTCCTCCATGCAAGCTAACCTGGATTGGTAAAGGAGAAAAATTGAGAGATAAACAAGAACCATTTTCAGGAAAAAGAAAAGGCATAGAAAAGGTAAGACAATTCTAGAATCTAACGAATTGCCTATACAAAACATTTATTTGAAATTTTGAATGGCAACCAAAAAGTTCAAAAATGAAGTTCGGATTAAATACTTAAATTCAAGTTCTAAGCCAATTTGGAAATTCGACCACCAAACAATGCGAAGAGGAAGTAGATGATCTAACCCGAGCAGAAGCCCCTCGTGGGGAACGAAGCACGACCTGATCGATTCCATTCCAGTCCTTGGTAACTTCAATCGCTGCTTTCTGATCCCAGACTGCTGCTGAATGACCCATCTCAGAAATAGAAATAGGACATGAAAAACAAGACAAACACAGGACTCCTATCAAACAAGAATTTGAACAGAAGTCCCAGAAAGACAAAGGAGAGGAAAGCTAATTAATTAAGAAACCTATAGTCACTGAGACAGTTGAGATTCTGAACTTTCCCCCAACACCTTTCTTGTGACAAATCTATTATCTCGTGAATGAAAACTGAAAGAAATCTACCAACGTGACACCCTTATCTTCTCCGGTAAATTATCTTATTGCCACAATTGGAATTAAAAAGAAAATTTATCCGACAGAAGAAACTTGCTCCTCAGAATAACTAGTCAAAATGTAACAAATAGAGACAAAGAATAGAACGTTCAAAGTCCAAAACACAGATTCATCGGAAACCTGAAATGTACAAATTCCTCACAAAACCGTCGTCACATTTGGAATTTTGCATCACACGAATACACCCCAATACAGGAAGCAGTGGATCCTAACTCTCACGGAACTTCCCCGAATCAAAACCACCTACACTCTCTCTATCAAAGGAAGATAATCGGATACACAAAAAAAAGAGCCTAAATCCTAATAAATTAATAAATATATAATCACACCTATCTAGAACATCAATCACCACAATCCAAGTCCTATACCACTACCCAAAAGTTGATTTCTGATCAAAACCACTTGCAGAAATCTTAAGACAGGAGTTACGGATCCATAGCCCAAACTTTCTCAAGTTGCTAAAAATACCCAGTTTTCCCAATAAAACCCGGTTGGAGGGAGAAACTGTAAAGAAGAGGAAAGATCCCAAGATAAATGAAAAAGAATAAAAACCAAAGCCAAAGAAATACGTGGCAAAGAAAGAAGGGTCATGAGCAGCTTTCGCAGAAACATTCGAGCGCATTCAAGGCAAAGAAACGATAAAGGTCGGTATAGGGAACAAAGTGTCCAAAAGGAAAATGGGAAATTGATTAAATTAAAAATGGAGGGAAAACGGTATACTCTCTCTCTCTCGCTCTGTCACTCACTTGTAGTTGTATGTAGTTGCAGAGATCAAGGACATGTATTCATGGAGAAATGTGAAGTACTGGTGCGCTGTATAAACGGTCAATGTTCCCAAACAAAAAGGTTCTTTTTTAATTTTAATTTAACATATATTTGTAATTTGTAAATCAATTAAAAATTTAAAATTGAATGGAAGGAAAATCAGAAGAAAATTAATTATGACTAAAAAGCTTTTAAGAAGTGATTACAGAGGTAGGCTTTATTATAATGACTTGATATTGAGATGTTTTCACTTCCCAAATCCCACTGCTTTTAAGCAGTAGCAGATCCTGTGTGTGTGTCGTGTGTGTATGGCACTATGGCGTGGCGTCTTACGCTTATTGGGTTGGGCCTGGGCCTGGGCCTGGTTGGCGGAAAATTAGAGGAGCAGACAGTTGACCTTACCACCATTGATTCTACGCACACCACTCCCCCTAATCCTTGTCTTACGAGTTACGACACTGCTGCATTTGCATGAACCATGAAATCGTGTATGTTAGTAGCCACTTCCACGTGGCACGTGTTAGAACTAAGTTAATACCGTTAGAGATAGAGAACGCGCCCTCCGGTGTAAGGCTATCCATTGATGATTGATACATATCATATTAGTGACCCTTTATTACACCTTTCCGGGTTTTACCTGTTTCAAGGGTAGACAAGCTTAAACTAATATACTATATAAAAATAAATTTATTATTTTATATTTATATACATTTTAAACACATTAAACCGGATCCGGATGTGATTAAATCCGAATCACATAACCGACACAACCCAATATAACGGATTCTAACCGAAAGGTTTGGTAATCGGATCGGATGCTAAAAGTTGGCGAGGAAGAAAAGAACAAGTAACACTCTTTCTTTTACCAGCGCATATTAATAGTTCATCCTCGTGAACCGCTAAAATACGCTATATGAAGACTGGGAGGAGGATTCGGACTCCCCAGTCCCATTTGGAAAGGCGAATAAGAAGTAAGAAATGAAAAGGTAATGCCGGTATTTGGATTTCTTTTATGTTTTTCCGCTGTTGGGTCATGGGCCATGGCTGGTCCAAGTCCAATTAGACCACCGTTTCTCAATTCTCGTGGGAGAAAAATTAGAGTTGGGATTGGATTGGGTTAAGTGAAAGTTCTTGAGGATTCAGGGGTTGCCACCTGTGTGTTAGGTGGGTACACGTGGACATTCAAACTGGTAGAAGAAAGAAGGAGCTGAGAATCGAGAAACTACTCCAATTCATGTCCGAGTCAGCTCGGTCCAATACTCCAATTCCAGGGAGCGGCCCACTCATCCCTTATCCAAACCGACCACCGATCAGAATATGGACGTCTTCGCATTCACAGACGGCTGCGCAGATTTCAATGTTGTCGGCGATGGAGGACTACAATACTCCACGTTCCCTACACCAAAATTACTGATTGTAGTTATCAATTATATGGGGGGGGGCAAGCTGAGCTGGGTGCACGTGATGTAGGGAGCAATTCGGGCAAGGGACTTGACGGATTGTAGACAAAATCATGAGTGAAGATGCCGGTGTTGTGTATATATGGAATCAATCTCATATGAATGCGTTTGTTTTTGTGTAAATACATACAGATCAATGTAAAATTTCATTCCTGGTCCGTATTTTCGGATGAAGTGTAAGTTTTACATCAATTTTAAATTCTATGTACGGTTAAGTTTTACATATAAGTATAATATAGTTTTATCGATGTAGTATTTATTTTGATAATCATGCTTTTAAAACTTCCAACGGTTCACACATTTTAAACCAATTGCATGAATTTGCCTCCAGCCCAAGTTTAACCCTAATGCAAATAGACCTATAAACAGTATTCGAAAATCCAAATACGAATATGAGATTTGGCATAATCAAATTGAATTTGGATAATTCGAATAGAATATTTTGTCAAATTAGAATATACATTGATTTGATTTGATATCCAATTGAACAATAATTTCTTCAATTGACAAGGGTATGACAAGGGTATAGAGGTAAATTCGATTAGAGTTTAGGGTATATGTTCGTTTGCTCTAAAGTCTGACATTTGAAAGTGCAATAATTACATTAAGAGGTATATTGATATTAGTGAACTTTTTTTTCCTCTGAACTCTAAATGCAGAGAATATTGTTCTGAATTCTGAAAATTATCAAATATCCATTTTGGTTCCATATATTAGAGTTTTTGTTTGTCTTTTTGGGGGTATCATTGAAAAACAAAAAGTTGTATGATTACACTTTAAGAGATAAGAGATACGAGGAAATAAACAACTATTTTTCTCTTAAAGTTAAAAGATTCATCTTAAGAGATAAGAGTTAAGAGGAAACGAACAAGCCCTTAAACTCCAACCTAGTTTGACCCTTGACTTAATCATCCCATTTGAAAATTTCCAAAACCTTGCCTTTCTACCCTCTCATCTTTCTCTTTGGAAATTTCCAAAACCCTAAGTCCCTAACCCTTCATTGCCACCGAGCTCAAGCAAACACCCCTACTAGCGCTAGTAGTCCAACACCAATCACCACCTCACCAGACACCACCGCCGCACTACTATGCTCTATCAATTTCTCTCAACCAGTGGACAATCGTTCGCTAGTTTACTAGTTCGCCAACACCCAACTCAAGCAAAATAACCTCCATCACTAACACACCTATTCCGTCATCAGAATGTTTGTTGAACTGTAGGTATGGGGTTTTTAATCTGAAGCTCTGGTGCAAAGAGGGGATTCTTTCCACTTCCCCTTTCTCAGGTAATCCAAAACTCAAAAGCCTAATCCAACAATCATATGCCTCTCTTCTTTTTCTTTGAGTAAGAAAGATCTATATTTGTGCTTTGTTTCATAGGAATTAGGAAGCTTGAAAATGCTTCCATCCTCAACAATCAATGGAGTTTGCTTGTTGTTTTTGCTATTAGATAGGGTAGGAATAATAGTAAAAAATAGTTAATTGAATCAAATCAAATTCATTTCAAAAAGTCAAATTAATTGGTTGAATTCGAATGGAATCAAATATTCAATTTAATAATCTAATCGAATTGGTTGACCTTTACTAGGAAGAACCTATAGTTGCGACTTGCACAGGTTTGATTATGCATGCCCATGTTTGGAGATGTAAATGACCAACTTATCTATTGGGTCATAAAGGCCAAGTGACCATTTTTTATACTATATTATTTTATTCTTAGGGATAATTACTTAAACTTTTCCTATGTCTTTTTGACAAATAAATATTTTTTAGTAAATACATCCTTCTTTGTTAATTATCTTGTAACAAAGATAATGAAATTATGACTATGCCCTTGTTATGAATGTGCTCAATGAACATTGTTGTTCTCTCTTCAAATTGCCTTACTATGGCATTTCTACTAACAGGGGAGGTTTGGAAGGAGTACAAATACAAATATTTAGAGTGCAAAACCTTGTATTTTGTATTATTTTATATGTATTTGTACTGTACATACTTGTTTTTGTACTCTTTCAAAAATGAGCCTAAAGAGAAAACAAAAGAGATGAAGGGGTAAAAACTTGAAAATATTACAGCAATACTTTCAATCAAGACAATTGATGCAAGGGGTGTGTTTGCATATTTATTTGAAACATGAAAGCAGTTTATTTAGAAGTTTAGGCCATGTTTGGTTTATTGCTTTGGGCCTCATTCTTTTAATTCTTGTTCATTCTAGGCAAGAATGAATAAGAAATAAGAATGAATAACATTAGAGTGTTTGGTTACAAAATTATTGCCATGGGCCACAATCTTTTTAGAATGAAAAATCAGCCCCATAGCACAAAAATTGAGTAGCATGCATGAAAAATAGTCATGCCCCATCTTGTTCATTTTTATTCTTTGAGGAAACTCTGCCTACAAAAATGCTGCCATAGATGTTTACTTTTGCAAAAGCACTTTTATAAAAGTACTTTTACATGAAAGCACTTTTACAAAAACACTTCTATAAAAGTAAATTTATGAAAAATACTTTTACATTAAAGCACTTTTAATAAAAAAACTTTTATGAAAGCACTTTTACTAAAACACTTTTATAAAAGCACTTTTACGAAAGTACTTTTATGAAATAACTTTTACGAGAGTTCTTTTATAAAAATACTTTTACAAAACATCTATGCCAACTAGTAAACATTGATGGTTGATCATCCACCAGTAAACATCTATGCCAATAGTTTTGGAGATCTAGGCTGGCGGTTTATGAATATTGGCAAGTTTTTTTTTTAAGAATGAAAATGAGCAACAAAGGACACTTGTCAGTTTGAAAAAAAAAATCATCTTAGGAAAAAAAGTGTTTGGTTCATAGCAATATTTTTTCATTTTACCTATTTTCTCATTCTTATCCATTTTAGAATTTCATCTTGGGTAAGAATGAGAAAGAATGAGAATTGAACCAAACATGGCCTTATATTCCACAAATTTTCTCTTATTTTTTTCTAAATGTAAATTTTCACATTGTTTTTTAGTGCATTTTCTTTTTAGTGGACATAAAGTGAGGCTTTTATTGATGTCTATTCGGGAGGGCCCCACATGAAAGCCTAAAAACTATGTTTGGTGAAAATCCAGATAATCCAAATAGGCTCTCAGTTTGTCATTTGAAGGGCTGTCCAGTTCAGTTTATTTGAATATCTCTATTTGGAGTGATTCAAAGATCAAAGCATCCTGAACCACCTTAATTGAGTGCTCGTTTGGGAGGGTTTAAGCACAAGAGCTTCTAGCTTCCTAAGGTGGACCCCACATGAAGAGACTATAAACTACATTTGGTGAAATATTCAGGGATCCTTAATTGGTTGTTAGTCAGTCATGTGAATGGCTATCCACTCCAACCTCTTTAAATAGTTTATTTGGAGTGCTTAAAGTGGCTGAACTAGTTTAGCTGAATCTTCAACTTAGCCCTCTCAAACAAGATTTGAATTTAACATCCCACTTGCTAAAATTTTCTTAAAATATCCTTATGGTTTAGCTAATTGACTAACTCTAACCTTATTGTTTACATA